TTGGAGAATGGCTGTTCTTGCTTTGGTGAATCCGGCGGTGGCGGCGGCGGTGGTGGTGTTGTTGAAATGGCTGGGAAAAGAGGCTGGTGGAGAATTCTCCTGTTTTTTTCATGGTTGAGTGAATCTTGGGGGTTGGTTTCTCCTCTGAGTGATGTGATGATCAAGAAAATGATGATGTAATGAGATTTCATTGTGTTGTTCATCTCTGTTTTTATTTATTTACATATATATAATATTTATATAATAAATTAATAATTTAAATTGTTGAATTTGTCACTAGGGTTTGATGAAGAAAGAGAAGAGAGACTGTAACATGAAGAAAATGTGAGTGGGATTTATCAGTTATGTCATCAAGCAGCAACCTTAACTTTACTTACTCAATATTATTATGCAGGTATTATTTAATTTAAATCTTTTTTTTTAATATTTATTACAACAAACTTAGTATTTATTACGTCAAGAGCATATGCATGTATAGACTAGTTCTTGGCTTTCATTTATCATCATAGTATAAAAATAAAAAAAGTACAAATACCTCATTCTATATATCTCATTTTACTAGTATTAAATAATGATAATACTATTTAATAATTATTATAATAAGTTTGCTTATTACACTAGAAAAGTTGGAAATTCTATGTTGATGTCCCACGTTAAGCATCACCCCCACCTTTGCTTCTATTTGATGACTTCGGACAATCTTTTCTACCAAAGATTCCTTTGGCATAACAACAATTACATTTACATTCATTTCACCAACAATAATATATATATATATATATATATATATATATATATACATATATACATATATACATATATACATATATACATATATATATATATATATATATATATACATATATATATATACATATATATACATATACATATATATATATATATACATATATATATATATATATATATATATATATATATATATATACCACAAAGTTCGGTTGATCAAATTAGTTATAATTAGATTAAAGGGCAAATTACGGTCAACCCCTTAGGTTGGTCAAATTAAAAAAAAAAATCATTTTGTTTGGGTAATTACAACCACCCCTTCTTTTAAATATTTTTACAAAATTTATTAATTCGGTCATTTACCGAAGCAAATCGTATACTTAGTCTGGTAAACGGTATGAAATGTTTGGCGTACCAAAAATTCGGTTCGGTTTTACCGATTTAACACCCCTAAATTTACCTCTGAAGGGATTTTTTTGTAAGATAGTACAAAGTTGTGGCCGTAATTTACCCTTAAATAAATAATTGGAATTTATTTGATAATTTTATTATTGCAATAAAGTATAAACTCTTGGAAAATAATAACCATTATTTGAAGACAACAATAACAGCCCAGGCCCGTTAAATAATAAATTTGGGCTAAGCCCACTTAAAAAAATCCGGATCTTTTTATTTTTGTATATTTGGGTTTTGACGAATAAGGTAAGGCACCGGCCCATTTTTCTTAGATCGCTCGGTTTTGTAGATGCCATACCTGGTGGATTACACCGGGTGATTTTGGATCATTGATCACACATCCATATGTATGTGTGCTCAGTTGATAGTTATTTGTATTGAACTACAGTTCGAAAGCACCTGATGTGTTACAGCGGTGTAGCATCTAATAGACTATTGTCGTTGTTAGTGAGTGTGATTCCACAATACTCTTCCTAATTTTATTTTTCTTCAACAGTAATAAATTACATACCAATATGAAAATAAATCCAAAATATTTAATCCTATGGGACTACAGATAATCTAAGAATAAACGAAAGAGGAAAAATAATACAAATTTAATAAATATTAATTTTAAATATAACCCTTGATCCAACACATGTATCTACTATCTAGAAGGAGCCGAACACCGGCTCAGTCCTCTTTTCCCCTTCGTCCTCGGCCAAGACCCAGGCGGCAGCAACCCGCTCGCCACCGGAACCAACACAATCACTTTCATTTTTTGTATTGGCAAAAAGAATTTTATTGAATTTTTTTTCTTCCCTTTAAATTGTGGTTCACTATAGTGATTGCTCTTCTTGGACTTGGAATTTTCTTGAAATTAAATAATTGAAAGTTCATTACTTTATTATTGAAATAGACAAGTGGTATTCACTAGTCATGCTTTTATTCCCTAAAATTCTAGATATTCTCGTGAGAGCAACTTAACTATCACTCCATAAATTGAATTTGGAGGAGGAAAATGATTGATAATCAACTTTGGCTTGTTGTATGGTAGTTGCATTCAAATTTCGCATGGGACCCGCTAAGGTAAGAAAAATTGTTACAATTTTCAAGCATGTTACATTTACCCAACGAGTAAATCTGGAAATTCGCATCGAAATTCTATAGAATC